GACAACATGCTCCAAATTTGCCACTTGATAAGAATTCTTGTAAATTCGAAATACTATTGTATTGTGGTAACTGTAACACACGACCAGATTATAGGTAAACAACTTACCTATAATGACATATTCGGCAATGCAATAAGACGTTCATATGACTCGCTATCACACAAGTATTTGCCACTTGATAAGATTTTATTTGTAAAATCGAAATACTACATATTTAGTATTGTGGTTACTATTCACGCTCACATCCAAACTACTAATGAGTAGCGGGATACTTCTTGTGAGTTTAATAAAATTAGATTTATTCTTATATTTCAATAATTATGATATTATTTCTTTGTTTTTTCCTTTGTTTCTAGTACCAAGCACAAGGAGTCACAGGAGAGAGTCATGTTTGTCAGTTTACATAGGTTTTCGATTATTTTTTAAAAATTACTTTCACAATAAATAAATAAATGAATAAATAAACAAATATATATATATATCAGATATAATTTGTTTACTTCATAGGAATCTTAATTCAACTTTTGTTAAAAATATCTGTGATTTATTTTAGATATAAAATATCTTCTATTAAAAAAGACAACGTCTTCTTCTATTACTACACGTGCATTGATTAACTTTGTAGTATTCAAGAAAATCGAATGGCTACTTTCAAACTTCAAACACCGTTATTACAACCTGCAAAAAAGATGAAAAAATCATGGCATTTCACAGATAATAGCATGTATCATAAGAACATCCAAAAGAGTCAATTATCTATTGATAACTGGAAGACTTCATCACGGATCCTAGCAAATTATAGAAAAATGCCTGACAATCTATTCATACATCGACTATCAAACAGTATTCCTAGTCAGTGTGCTGTGATCCAACGGTCATTAACGAATACTACAATGTTACATTTTATTCGCCGTCGTGCTCTACTCATGTGTACTTTATCAGAATTAAACATCGAAGAAGATTATTGGAAACATGTTGCTGATGAAGCAATGCCTACTGTAAGATGGTTATCTCAAGCATCTAAAGATATAACGAAACGAAATTCCATTAACTGGGATTATCCTCGAACGGAACACAACATAAGACATCGACAAAGATTAATTTATAATAGACTACAACAAGCAGAGGCGAACTTGAAGGTTCATTTACAACAAAGTCCTCCAAGTGCAGTAAAACAAAATGAAATATCTATTGACGAATCAATGAATATCATTGATCACGCTCTTACTAATCTCGTAAAGAAAGATCTTGAACAATGCGTGAATTATTTTGAACACAAGAAAACCATACTGAACTTCGATATTAATGGAGTCAATCAGGTCAAATCATTCTATGAATATAGTTCAAACAAGGAACAGGTTTTCAACTAAACCTACGACCATATTTTTACTCTTTTTCTTTCCTTCTAGATTCTTTCTGGTCAGAAACTTTGGCGAATAACTGCCAAATCATACAAACGAGCAATTACTCTAAAAAGAAATTCTTCATTGTTAACTAAACAAACATTTAAAAAAAAAGGAATGATACAAAACAACTCGGCTCATGACCACATGAACGCAATTGGATTCGACTGCAATACTGGCCATTCTGATCAAAGTGTTTCAACAACTTTGCTTCAACCGTTCCTCGGTCCTATGCGCAATATTATTGAAGTTCGTCTTCTTAATATCAAACAACGAGCTGAACAAATTATGCTATTCATCAATACATCCTCTGACTAAAAACTGTCTGCTTTGCTTCAATATAAAACACAAAATCAAAATATTGTCCTTGTTCATCCATAATTTTGAATCCCAGTAGTGTTCATTATATGCTTTTCATTATCATAAAATTATTCTTCCAATCCATAATAAAACTCATATAGCTATTAGTTTCCTTTATTTCAGATACATATTAGATTCACACTTACCCGTGATTGACTTTACCAATCCTGGTCATTCTAAGATCACCTAATTCTTACAAAACACATCCACCCACCCGATAGTAAAAAATATACATCAACGCAACAGCTGGCGAACATAAGCCACCACATCGAAACAATACTGATTAGAATTCGACCAACGCTTCATACTTATCCCTCTACCACCATCCAATTCAACAAATTCAACCAAGCAGCTCACACATCAGTGTCGCCAAAATGAAATTAACTATCAACTGTTCGGTGTTCGAATTTCTCTCGTTTTTTCAAGTTCAATTCAATAGTATCGTATATATCGTACGTCTTCGAAAGTATGGATCATTGATATGAACACTTGCCACTTGACAAGTTTCTTTCGTAAACTTGAAAAACTATCTTTAGTTTCGTGGTAATTATTCACATACTTTAGATGTTTAAAAATTTCTGCTTTCGAGTAGAAACTTTCTATGAACTATTTCAAATTTGTAGGTAGAATCGAATTGCAGCACTTTAAAATTTAATAGCCGAACTTACCTGATGAAGACCCTTAAGCAAGGTCGAAACCGGTCGTAAGCATAGCTTGTGCTATTAAATGAAATTCAATTATACACACACCCCACACCCACACTCACACCCACACCCACCCACACCCAGCTACGCTTTAAATTTGATGAAAGATCCATGTCAGAAGAGAATGTCAAAGACATCTATAAAAGTATGGATGATATTACACGAGATTACAGACTGAAAGCAACCGAATTATATATCCGAACTGCTAAGGCCGAACTCGATTATCACACAGCTCGTCTACGACATTTAACAGATGGCTCAATTTTAGCACCTTCAGAAACAGAAGAAGATAACAGTGAGGCTGTAAAGGCTTTCCAGGTCTTCGTCAAGGTGCATCATCACCATACAGCCACTTTGACTGAAATCGACGTCCTTCGTTTAAAAGAACGTCAGCGAAAGGTAGACGCACCAGATCCTACCATTCCAGTTACTACACCGGAAAGACAGTTAATCCCTGTGCCCGAATTGTTAGATCAAATCGGGCAAATTCAGGAGGTACTACTTGTGAGCAGGAATTAAATGCACCGACAGTAATTAACCAGACAGCATTACTACTGACAGCTGCTGAATTTCAGATCCTTAAGAAAGGACCTCGATTTATTATGAATGATCCAGAGAGAGCGAAAGAGAGAAGGACCAACGAGCTAAAGCTTACCTACGAGAAAATTCGTAAAAGTAATACTGAGCACGGATGGCACTTACCACTAGACCACTTGGATACATTCATTAAATCGCTCGATATTGAATTAGCTCAGATTCATGATAATAGCGTTCCGAGTAAAGACCTCAGAACATGTCGTTCTCTAGAGAAGAAATTAGAGAAATCTAATATAATTCTCAGGAAGACGGACAAATCTAAGGTCTTTCACCTAGGAAATGCACATGATTATGAAGCAAAAGTTAAGCAATACATGGCAAAGACAGATACATATGAGAGTCTAGGAGATAGAAACCCTTTGCAGGATTTAATTCTCCAAACGAACTCGTTGCTAAAAGGTCTGTTAACTGGAAACCACATCGACTTACGTTTATACAAGAAACTAGAAGTAGATGTAGGTAAAGCAGAATTAGCACATTTGTATTTTCTGCCAAAAGCGCATAAGCCAGGTACACCTCTACGACCAATCGTAGCAGGACTGAAATCGCCAACGATCAAAATTTCAAAATGGCTAGATTCAATTCTGAGGCCATTTTTTGATCAAATGGCAATTGATACTTCCATCTTGAATGGGGTGCAGTTGATTTCAGTTTTAGAGAAATGGTCCACGCGAAAATTGGGTAAAGATACTCTATTTCTTACGATGGACGTTTCCGATCTTTACACCATGGTACCGCAAGAAGGCGGTATCCAAGCGATCAAAAAGATGCTTCGCACCTTTCAGATTGATCAAATTCAAGGTGTTAAGACATCAACGATCCTTCTCCTCGCTCGCTATGTAATGAAAAACAATTACTTTATCTATGGTAATTGCTATTACAAGCAGATCAGAGGCGGGGCAATGGGCTCACCCCTCACCCTCACTGTGAGCAATGCTTACATGTTCTTCTTCCAAACGCCTATTACCAAATGGGTCAACCATAGAGGCGGTATTTTTTGCCGCTATATAGATGATATTTTCCTCACGGCAGATGCATCTAAAGACCTATTGGAAGGGCTTGTTCGTCACTGGAATAGGATAGACGTGAATATTAAATTGTCTGCAGAAATTTCACATTTAGTGAGCTTTCTAGATGTGTCGATTGAAAATATTGACGGGCATCTAAAGACATCCGTCTTCCATAAACCATCACACGAACCTTATTTCTTGCCATTTGAGAGCACGCATGCTATGTTCATCAAGAGAAACATTCCATATGGTGCTATCATACGGGCAATTAGATATTCGTCAGATATAGTCTCTTTCAGTAAAGAAGAAACACATATCACGCTTGCGCTCCTACTGAATGGTTACCCTTTAAAGGTAATACAGAGACAGTACGAAAAAGCGTTTACTGATATGAATTGCACTTGGCCTGACAAGTACAATTATCAGACGATTCGTCAATTATTCCTTTCATACTTTTTCTCTAAAGAGAAAAAGAAGAGAAGGGAGATCAACTTCGATACAGATTTGATTTTTCATTTCTCTTATTGCAAAGGAATGGAGACATTTGCAGCACATTTCCATAAAAAATGGGATGAGCTTTTTAGTCATCTTGCCAAGGGGGAAACAGCAGAGACTTCAGTCGTGAAGTCCCATGAAGTCTGTGAAGTCTCATGAAGTCCCATGAAGTCATACGAAGTCTTATGAAGTCATTTGGAGTCCTATGAAGTCTTCAGAAGTCTTTAGAAGTCTTTAGAAGTCTTGTGAAGTCTGTGAAGTTTCGTGAAGTCCCATGAAGTCTGTTGAAGTCTTTTAAAGTCTTGAAGTCTTGAAGTACTCTATTTTTTTCCTTGTAATGAAGTCTCGTGAAGTCTCATGAAGTCCCATGAAGTCTCTTGAAGTCTCATGAAGTCTGTGAAGTCCCATGAAGTCCATGAAGTCTCATGAAGTTTGTGAAGTCCCATGAAGTCTCATGAAGTCTGTGGAGTCCCATGAAGTCTATGAAGTCTCATGAAGTCCCATGAAGTCTCATGAAGTCTCATGAAGTCCCATGAAGTCATACGAAGTCTTATGAAGTCTTGTGAAGTCATTTGGAGTCCTATGAAGTCTTCAGAAGTCTTCAGAAGTCTTTAGAAGTCTTGTGAAAATATGAAGTCACTGCAGTTGAAGTCTGTTGAAGTCTTTTGAAGTCTTTTGAAGTCTTGAAGTCTTGAAGTCCGCTGTTTCCCCCTTGCATCTTGCACTATCGAGTAGCAGTCCTATTATTGGTTTTCGTAACTGCGATTCTCTTCAGCAAAGGTTGGTTAGGAAGAAGCCACCTAAAACGTTGATCTCTGCATGACATAATAGATGTATAAATTCTTTCGGATATTACATCAATTTGTTGATATGCCAGATCGATCCGTTGTTCAAAAAGGAATTTTTGTTCCATTTTTGAGATTTTCCCATTTTTCAGAACCAAAAAGTTCTGTTTTTGGGAATGAGATTCCCATTTTTCAGAACAATTTTGTTCCGTTTATGGGAATGAGATTCCCATTTTTTAGAACATTTTTGTTCCATTTTATGGGAATCCAGACCCCTGGAGATCCGAATGACGTCATAAGATATCGGATATGTGTAAGGACAAGATATACATGACGTCATTTACTAGCTGGAATGTGTAAGGACAAGATAGATGTTATGCTTACTAAAACGGTATGTGTAAGGACATCGGAGATGTCGTGCCCACATATATGACTAGTAAATTTCACTAATCTATCTCTACATCATCCAAGCAACTTCATCTTCATCAAGGTCAGTTTTTTTGTTTTTTGTCGATTTTTCACCCCCATGGACAACGACATTATTCTCGAATCCTTCTCGTCAGGCATTAGTGGTATTGGCGTCAGTTTCCCGGCGCTCATTCCATTTTCTGCTATGACTCACAAGGAGGTAGCACAAATCATTACTTCTCCCGCTTTTAAAGATTTGGAGAATTCGTCCGCCGGTCACAGATGGATAGCGACGAGTGTCGTCGTCTCCAGTAATCATGGGATGTACAAATTATATTTGTGCCAACGGAGGGGATTGGCAATGTGGGTTCCCACAGGGGAATGGTTTTATAGTAACCAAGTACCCACGGCCAATCATCAAACGATTGCCCAGTTTGCTGAACGGCGTTCTAAGGCTAAGGTTCGTCCAAAGCCTTACGAACGACCCGAGAGCCGAGTCTTATTCAGATTCGAGCTGAAGAGCGGCGTAAAGAACGCCTTAATCTAAAGGAAGCACAAGTCAAAAATGACTTACCTTCTCGTCCACCACCAGCACATATCACCACTGAAGATCGTCCCATGACTTCAGCTGAGGCTGGTTTAACATTCCCGGTGGCGGGAAAGAAACCATCTTCGGTCGCTAAGAAGGAGACAAAGTCTCCTGATAATATTAATAAAAAGAAAAAGAAAAGCGATAGATGGCTCGAGTTTAAAGCTCGAAATAAAGCAGCTAAAGAAGCTGCTAAAAGTGCTCCGCGTGCTCTTCCTCCTCCTAAGCCTAAAGCCTACAGTGCAGGTGGAACAACCACCTAAATCTCCGCAACAGCAGCTACAGGTTCAACCCGGCGACAAGGTCGCTTCTTCTGATTGTGCCGGTGATGAAGTAGATAATCTACTTGGTGTTTTCTCGACTGCTAATGGGTCGACAATTTCATTTGGTGATTTTAAACCAGTCGATCTCGATATTATTGATATTGATGAATTGATGCTACTCGAAAACAGTTGATCTTCTTCGCCATTCCTAAGACTGTTGCGCGTTTTTTCCCCCTTTTTTCTTCATTCATTTTTTGTTTGTTGTTATTTCTTTTTCAAGTGCTTGTTTTCATTTTTATGGATTTTTTATAGTTGTTACTTCCTGATGATCTTTATTGTTAAATAAAGTGAAACCGGTCGAAACGAAACAATTCTTTTAATTTTCATACAAATTATCAATTGCACTTACTTACTTACTTACTTACTTACTTAGTTAGTTTATTTTGTTAAACTAACAATTGTCTGACACTTGAGACATCAGTGTTGCTTTTCCACATCTTTCAATTGTCAACACACCCACACCCACACCCTATCGGGGTGAAGATGTCATAGGTTTCCAATGTATGGACATTTCACAAATCACCAGATTTGTTTCGATGAAACCGAAGTATAAAAGTACCCACTTTTATACAGACATATTACCAGTCTGTTTTGACTTATCATCGTATCGACTTGCCACCGTATACGAGATAAGTGCACAGACTGATGATCTTCGATGATATTTTCCGAAGATAAGATGAATATCTTATTCGAATGACATCGAATATTGCAAGGTCTAACCGGTGCGTAATCCGATAAGCCTGGTGACTATAAATCATCATAAACTGCTATCCAGAGTGAAGCTAACTTTGATGTTGTCTACCATAAAATAGGCGTAAAGATTATCACTAATCTGACTTTTCCAATTAGTAGATTGATCTTGAATTGAGATATTTATCTTTCCACCTGATGAGATCCTTCAGCAAGGTCGAAACGCGTCGTGGAATGCTGATAGACTCCTCTTGCCTCGCATTAACATCAATCGAATTAACACACCCACACCCACACACCCACCCACACCCACACCCCACACCCACACCCACACCCACACGCACACCCCAAAATTTAATATATTTGAGAACACTAACGAATCCATTTGGAGTCAATCAATATTCTTTCTCAATATAATGGGATAATTTTATGTGGGTTATGAAACGGACGAGAAGGTGTTCTGTATTTTTAAAACTGATTTTTGAATTCACGAGAAAGCATTCGACAATTAGGAGAACGACAGAGAATGCGTTCTTTTCTCTCTAAGAATGATGTCGGATTGTCTGGAACGCATTCATCAGTTCGAAAAATCCATTCTCAAGTATTTTTTGAGAGAAGATCAAAGAAAGCATTCTCATTTTGATGGAATCCGATCTTGACTGTTCCAAAAATGAACGGTTCAGAAAGCTTTCTCTTCAGATGAAGAACGATTTTGAACCGAGAAGAAACCATCCTATAAAAACGTGGAACGACAAAGAATGCGTTCCTTCAGATGCATAACTCATTCTTGTCGCTCATGAACGCATTTGCCAAACTATAGAACGTGTTCTTCATGAGAAAGGTAACTTTCCATGTTTTGCTGAACGCTTTCACTTCCGTTTTTTTCCATGATTATTTTTCACTGGGTATATTAATGGATGTTGATTTGTCCTTGCTTTTCCATCTCAAATAAGGATAGTAGACCAATTGTCGATAACAATTTTGGCATACAGATAGGTGCCATTGTGATCCTATTGTTATAACCAGCACAGAAAAAAAAATTTAGTATAATAAAATTTGTTGTTTTCAATAAATCAAGACAGATCTAGGGACTTCAGCGATGTATTATAATCAAATATAATTTAGATTTTATGCTTTCTTACTATATAGGCCTTTCTTTTTAATTGATTACCGTTAGACTTAGGATTTCACGTGTCGAATGATATATATACGAAATATCAAACGATGAACTTTGCCAATGTAAAGAACACATAGTCATTAGAATGTTCTAAAAGTTTCATGTACAACACATGCATTCTTCGTGAGACATTGCAAAATTAAAAAAAATATCGTCTTTATTTTATTTTCAATAAATCAAGAAGGACGTATTCATTTCGACCAAAACTTTGACGATACTTCAAAATCTAGTAGCTCTATTGATAAGTGAAATATCTCCGGAAGAAAGTCACATAGATATAAACTGTTTTAATTCTCATTAAGATCTAGTTCTACTTGTCGACTCTCACTTCTGATCTATATTTAAATATTTAATAATATCTGATGTTTTTTTCATTTTTATTTTTGTTCAACATTTAAGTAATAATTATCGTTTTATATGTCAATATAGTCGTGTATCAATTTGTCTTGATTTTGAATTAATATATGCTCAACAAAATCAACGTGAAGCATTTTCAATAAATGAATTAGATGAAACACGTTATCGTCTTAATCATTTATTATCATGTCAACAAAATCTTGATGATACATGGCGTTTATCGCGTTGGCTTGTACATGTTATAAATTGTGCTAAAGATAAAACATATTCTGGTATATCACTTAAACCATTTCAATCATCATCATCATCATCTTTACAATGTTCATTAGATTCAAATAATTATTTAAGAATGAAAAATATGAATACTTTTATTGATTTCGAAGATAATACAATTGAATTAACATTTCATAAATCATTATTAACATCAAATACATATATACCATTTAAATTACGAATAAATAAAATGATAAGATTAAATGAAATTTTAAAAATTATTTTAAAACAACAACAACATGAGACTTTTTTTAAATCAAATTCATTATTAAATTTTGTTTGGGTACGTTCAAATCGATGTGAATATATAATTGAAGAAAATTTAACAGCTTATGAAATTCAAACATGTCTTTTACGTTTTGGTGGACAAATTCATATACGTTTAAATAGTTCATCATCAGCAAATTCATCACCAACAATTAGTAAAACATCAAATTTATTTCCACCTACATCGGAAATCATTTCAAAAGGACCTGGATCAAGTTTAAGCTTGAACATGTAAAAAAATAAATATTTGTTTTTTTTTTTTGATTTAGAATATCAATAAATATTATGTGATATCATTCGAAGTGAATAAGTTACTAAGAATTTAAGAATCTGTCTGTAAGATTTTCATTCATATGTGTAAAAGAAAAATGAACAGTGTGCATATTTCTTATTGCATTATACTTTCCTTCTATGTCAAATCGATTAATTATATTCGTATTTGTATCAGAATATATTTCTGATTTAATTTTTCAGCTAATACTCAATCAGTTGAAACTTCATAAAAAACAATCGTAAATCGGCTTCGGAAACGTACAGCAGTTTATGTAACATAATATTTTGTATTGTATATAACAAATAAAAATAATAAACAAATGACCATATTTAAATGTTGTAATTGATTATCATTAATAAACGTAAAGAAATGAAAATAAAATAAGATTATATAATGGTCTAGCACGATATATTTAAATTTTTTCGCTATATAAAATAATATCTAAAGAATTTAAAAATGTACATATTACTTGTTGTTCATCATTCATACATTAAAATACACAATAATCTTCAAGTGATGATTGAAATCTGTGTTTTGAACAACCAAAACCACTGAAACAGCATATATACATTTGCTTGAAATAAAAAAAAAATGAATTTCATTTAATTCAAAAGACATGTATTAAAAGAAAAAACAACATAACAAATAACAACATACCTTACATATGAGTGTGCGTGTGTGTGTTCGTGTACTTTGTTGTACGCTAATGAACATATAAGAGAAAATAATAATTCTCCTGTTCTATTAAGATAGTCAAACATGTGAGAAAAAAGAGGAAAGGAAAAAAGAAATAGGTCAAGAGAGGAATTGTCTTTTTTCCTTCTCTCCGTCCATAAGTCATTGTTCATGTTATTATTGATGATCAACGATCATCATGTACAATTAATGTGTGAAAAAAATTAAGCTTTATCCACACATATACATTGAGATATTTGTGATTGAATTTATCGCAATGTATGTGTGTCTAGATTGAAGCTTATTTATATACGTCTATTAATCACACTGACAAAAAAAAATTGAATTTTTCTCTCGATAACCTTTTCGGGAGAATATATATATATGAATGATTTTCTATGTAGAATCATTCAATTTATTGAATCATACATTAATCCTTTTCTTTTATGTTTTAGGTCAATTTATCTATACAATATGGAACAATTCAACATCGAACAATACAATAAAAAAATGTAGGTATCAGTTTTAGTTTTTTTTTTTCTTTTTTTTCTTTATTTAACGATTATAAGGATGGTGGGGTAAGACTTCCTATAATCTTTTTAATTTATTTTTTTTTCTTTTGTTTTAGATTCAATGAATATTTTCAACTATGACAAGATAACGGTGGGGTAAGTTAACTCATTCTTTTTTTTTTCATTATATAACATTAAATTAATTTTTTTTCTTTTTCTTTCTAGTTCTCAATATCATCGCGTCGTAATCAACTTCGTTCAACATCAAAACAGGGTGAGTAATGTTTTTTTTTTTTTTGAGATGAAAATAGAGGAGAGGGGGATAGAGTGACTGAGAAAAGAGTGTTAGTAGGAGGAAGGGGTGAGTTATGTCCATTGAGATTAGGTCCCTGTTAGTTACAGGCCTTCCGGGTAGGCCCTAAAAACCCGGCCAGGAACTATCTTGGTGTCCGTGGCACACGACCGGGCCCTTCAGACCCATTGACATATTTCTTGAGTGGGAGGGGTGTGAATGATATGAGTCTGTCCCGCGCGTGCATGAGCGTTACGCTCGCCACGGCTCCACCAGGATGGTTCCTGGTCGCGCGCGCGCGAATACAATAGACATTCGTTTCATCAATTCAACGTCATTTATTTAAGAGCAAGGAAAGAAAAAAAATCCATTGTAATGAGTTTATTCGATTGAAAAACGTTGAACACAATGATACCGAAAATCGACGACATAGAGATTGCCATGACGATCGAAGGACAAACCCCCGAGACCGTTGAACTGATTTGCTCCTTCTCCTTCACCATTTTCACCAACAATGACAGTGCCCTGTTTCGCTCCTTTAGGCCAACGCATCACTCGATGATTCCCGAAGTCTGCCACATAGATGGTACCCAATGTATCGACGAATAGTCCTTCAGGCCAGCCCAATTGTGTCAGAGCATTCCCAAAGCCTTGACCTCCAGCGACGACAATTCCTTCTTTTGCACCTTTATTCCATTTCATTACACGATTATTGCTGCTGTCGGATACATAGACAGTCTGTTGTTGATCGACAAAGATGTATCTCGGTCCGTTGAGTTGATTGAGACCAGCACCTTCGCCATTCCCACCAGCCACGATAGTTCCATTCTTGTTTCCTATTTGATATCGTCTTACTTCACGTTTTTCGGGGACACAGATGTAGAGATATCTCTGATCATCCATGGCCAACCCATAACAATGGATGTTCTTGATGAGAATTTCTCCTCGAGTTGTGCCACTACGACGAGACCATCGTACGACTCGTAGATTCGCCGAATCACAAATAATGAGACTATCCGTCTCTTTGTCGATCAACACATCGCTTGGACAATACAATTGATCCAATCGATTTCCATAGCCATTGCCACCAGCTACTACTTGTCCACTCGTATCACCCATCTTCCATTGAATGATACGATGATTGTTGTAGTCAGCGATGATCATCGTTTGATCATCATCAACGAAGAGACCTTGAGGCTCGGTGAGTTGATTGGTGGCACTGCCTATTCCATGCCCTCCAGCAACGGTCACTCCATTCTGTGCCCATCGGGCATCGACAGGAATATTGGAAATTACTACAATGAACGAAAAAGAAAAGAGATCATCATTGCCGAAGAGATCTCCTCTCTCACGCGGAGAAACGAGCTATGAAGGTGATATTCGTCTTTTTCGAATGGAATTTGGTAAAACTTTCGAGAATGTTCTTTCCGCAGATAAAAATTTAGAAGTATTTTCCTAGTTTCCTATAAATAAAAAAGGATTTCGTAATGATTCTTACTTCTATCTCACTTTTAGTTTTTGCTAAGATCTTTTTGATCCGAAAAACTACATCTGGAGATTGTTGTAAGGAGATCCTCGAAGAAAGAGTAATGCTAATTCCATGGAAACTTTTGATAGAAAAACATAAGGATCTGAAGATTTTATTCGAAATTGCAAGAATTCAGAATTTTTTTGCAGAATGATCATTTATATGAATATCAGAGAAGATTCTATCTGCATCTTGTGAGAAGAATGTCGAAACGTTGAACAACAAAGGTCAGACCTAATCCCTATATTTTTTAGGAAACCTTAAGGATACATGATTGGGAAGTTATGTCAAGCTGTTCGAAAGACAACTCTGATAGGATCTTAGCAAGATCATCAGAAGGCTTGAATACAGGCGAAAGTGAGCAAAGTCGAGAAAGTTCCACGCGGATTTATGGAATCTGATGCCTTCTACTTTTACAAATGCTGAAAAGATGAATACCAATCCTAACGGAGCTCTCCAATGAAAAGCATTGGGATCTATGGATTTTATGGGCTTTGGAAAGGGCTTTGGTAATAGGATAGCCAGAAAGTGTTCTAAAATGCTAACGGATGAGCCAGTATAAATTGCACTAAATGTTTTTGCTTTTTTCGTTCACTTCCTGTTTAGGAAATATATTCATTTTTATATTAAAAGATAGAGAATTTCAAGCTCTACAAAACTCTTTACTTCGTTTTTCAAATACATTTTTCTTGTCAGTGCCTAATTAAAAAGACTCACATCTACTCAACTATTCAACTGCAATTTGCTGGTTTCTGATGACATTAATCGATCAATGCAAAGTTTTGCTCATCAAGACCAATGCTCAATATAAAGTATTTAACATCTATAGATAGAGAATATTGTGGTCTATCTTTCCATGACCTTTTCAAGATTCCTGGTGCTGTTGCTCAGGAGAACAAGGCTCGGAGCTGATACCTGCTGTTATTTTAGGATCAGAGATGCTCATGTGATATTTTTCAGCGCCCCATGGGCTCCCCATGCACAGGTTTCCCCACAAGCCAATTTTTATAAAACCACTTTCCCCATCTATGGGGAGTCTAGGTTTTTGAACTTCAGCTCACCCCCGACCATGGGGCCCTTCGCCCCACCCATAGGGCGAACAGAAAAGATAATTCATTCAAATTATATATGACAGAATTTCTTGATCTGTTTTCTGTGACTTTTTAAATTGACTTTTTTAAGAACAAATCTATTTAGTAAGTTGTTTATAGTGAAATTTCACTTATCAAGTGTAGATTCAAATCACTAATCGAAAATCTACAGACTGCAGACGTTTGACATCAATAATTTGTATTCTAGTGGCCCCTCTGATACGATTCTCTAGCAATTTCTATAATAAAAGATAACTTTTCTGCTTTTCCATTTTTTCCATAAAAAAACTATTTTACTGACGGTTAGAAAATTCAATAAAAATACATCAGAAATCAATATTAAAAAAACATATAATATACAATTCGATGCATCTTCATCTCCTGATTTTAATAGTGAAAACTGTAGTTCTCTATCTTCTTTTTATCAAAAGTTATTCAAAAGAAAATACTTGCTAGCATTCATGTTGTTGTAATACATGTGAACAAAATAGATCTTATCGAAATTTTATTATTATAATATTAGTTGAAGTATAATCATATACTATAGAAATATGGAGCATTCTTTTCTCTATCGAACTATATAGAGAGAAAGTTTCTTAAAACGTGTTATAGCGAATTACAGAACTTGCACCACTACTTTTGGTATACTCTAAGTATGTCACTGATGGAAAGATGAACACAGAAAGTAAAGAGAAGGAGTAATGATGGCTGAAAAAATGAAAGAAATAGTGAAGGTAACTATAAAATTATAGAAAGAAAAAGAAAGAGTGAAACATCGTTTTCATATTATTACTTCAACACGAAAGACAAACAACGGAAAACAAAAATGAAGAACAAAAGAGAAAATGTATAGGAAGAATGTGCAACATTCTGTATAGTTTGTAGGGCGATAAGACAATTTTTACAAGCTCGTCATCCATTTTTTTCAAACGATTTCATAAATGATAAAAGTTCATTTAGACCATGGGGTTAAAAGATTTTTCACCCCATGGGTAGGAAAATGAATTTGCGAAAATCCACCATTTTGGGGAAAGATGATGGGGTAATATATCGCCCCATCCCAATTTGGGGCGTCACCCCATGGGTTCTCCATGGGCCCCGACCATCTGAGTGCCCCGACGAGTATCTCTGTTTAGGATGCAGTTTGGAGAATCATGTTGTTAAAAGCCAAACTTGCTCTATGAAGGATTTCTTATAATGTCATTGGATGTAGAATTTAATTCTGAACAAAATGGTGTAATTGTTAAATTGAAGCGCGAAAAACCTACGTTATTTTGAATTAGAAAAATAATTATGACCAAAGTATATCAGAAAAGGGCTTTTTCTTTGTTTTAACATATTTTCCTTCGACTCTGTTTCTCTCAAACATTTCCTCTAAAATTCTGAAACATGCAATCAAAGATGCAGAATTTTACGGAGATTTTTGTAGCATAGTTTAAATTTTAGCTGAATCATTATTTAAAAATTTTCATCATCTTTTTCGTATTTTTATCGTCACAGTTGAATGATTGAGTACATGTAAATCTTTTTAACTAGGCGCCGACAAGAAAAGCGTATTTAAAAAACAAAGTAGATAATTTTGTAGGGCTTGAAATTCTCTATCTTTTAATATAAAAACGAATATATTTGTTAAACAAGAAATGAACGAAAAAAGCAAAAACATTTAGTGCAATTTATTCTGGTCCACCCGTTATTATTAACTTTTGATGAAAACCATCTTCAAACCATTGTATTAGGGTCCTAGAAGAGAATTTTGGTGACTAAATAAGATATTCTGTCAAAATCTGAAAATCTAAAAATAATGAGTATCTTCTATTAAGATCATGCTATAACCCTTATGTAGTACTTGTTGTGAGAAGTCTTCTTTGAGCTCGCATGTCATGAATATGTTTACGAGGATCTGAAGAGTAACTATTTTGATGTAGATTTAATTATGTTCAAAAACTTATGTGTATTTAACCCTCAGATGCCCAAACTAATTTTTGGAGATAATATGATAACATGTGTTCATATTCTATGATTTTGATTGCTGAACCGGTATTCTTGCCGAAATGAGATTGTTTTTCTCTTCAATCTTGTAAAGTAATTATTAGAATTATAGTTTTCCTTTATTTAGAACAGTAAATACAAAAAATTCCCTGAACAGAGTCCTTATCACAAACCGGTTCTGAACAATGATAACATTTATTTCGAACTTTTCTATCTTTAGAACGATCATAAAGTGAACATCGTTTACATTTCGATTGTGTAGGGTTTTCACTGAATTCTTCTGAACATAATGAATATCATAGGCACAAGGGCGGATATATATATACTAGAAATCTCGGGACAGTAATAATCTTCTCGAAGATTCTGGACAAGAATATTGAAAACAGACTAGATGCGACGCCATGCACAAAAAGAATGCAAAAGAGAAGGAATATGCATGAGATGTAAAGTAGACAGGAAAGAAAAAAAGAGATAGTGAAAATAGATGCATTTTTTTAAAGATTTTGTCAGATTCAGAAAAAAAGATGTCATTGGAAATCTTATTAGATTCTAAGATTAAGAAATATATAAGAACAGAGTAAAGGACTCTGATCTAATTTTACCTGACTAAATAGGATTCATGAACAAAAGAAAGTTACACCATTACATAATTCAAGTCTTGTCTGCTCTTATTTGATTCTGTGTGATCTAACATGTTCTTTTACTTATTCGAGAATTATTGATTCAATAGCTTCTGTTATGGAGAAATGTACACAATCCACAAAATTGTGTTATGCAAGTCAATGTTTTCTATTATTATAATCGTAAAATCATTTTTGACTTCACAAATGCTTTGTATAATAGATTAATCAAAGTACAGATATATCTCGGAAATTTTCACATAATAGAGAACTTTTTTCTTCACAAAATATTTCTACAGAAAAGATATCGATGCCCAAATTTTTCTAAAATTATCACAAGATAAAAGATTAAATTTTTTTCTATTTATCCTCTACTATATGGTGGAACATACATTTTTGTAGTTCTTATTTTTCTATATTGATATCAATAATACAGAAATTAATTTATTTCATATGGTTTCTTTCTATATTGACAATATAGAAAACGATATAATATTTGATTTATTTGCACCTATATGCTTGTATATATATTTTTATTCTTAGTTTTCTATACTGATATTGATAATATAGGAAGCTTGTTAGTACAACTCCGTTGGGGCTGAAATGTAGAACTCACATATGTTCTCTAGCCTCATTAAACTAATACAAAATATGTAAAGTGGAAAATCTCTTGTAGGCTATAGTTATTTTGTAGGATAATCGAACATCAGAGTAAGAATGTTTCTAATTTCTGCATTTCGAACAGAAATTTTCTTTTTCAATGGATACCCTATTTTTTATTTTGCATTATTGCTATTCGCTCGTTATTATTCATTTTTTAAATTCGTTTTTCTTAATTTAACATTCTTATTATTATAATAGTTGAATTAATTGACAAATACATCTGTTTTA